CTGCGCTAAGAATAGCGCTCAAACGGCGCTCTGGCGCCGACCTTACCGCACCGCATAGACTGTCGGTGGGTCGATAGCCTCACTGAGGCTGGACCTGTACCTTTGTACCGGTGGGCAGAGGTCGGCCTCTATGCTGCGAGGCCTGACCGTGCCCTGAACCGTCCAGATGGACGGTACAGCCCCAACCGGCGGGCGGCAGCCTCAAGAGCGCCGCCAGGCCCAAACGGTAATATCGTTTGGGCCGGCCCGTCGGGTCTGGTCCAAGGTAAGGCCTTTACGGCATGTAGTACCCCCAAGGTCGGGCCCTTGGCCCTCTGTGTCCCTCTACCCCTATGTCGGGTCCGCTAGGACCCATGTGGCGTCGAAGATGTAACACACTGCCCCTCTTAAAAGACCGAACTACCTGCGAGGGCGAAGTTGTCTGTCCGATACCAGGGTGGGTCGGGCGGGACGAGCTGCTTCCTTAGCAAGGCGTCGCTTCTCATAGTCTGCGAAGATGAGGGGTGCAGAAGTCTGCAAATCTGTACTGGAGATCCATCGAGTGTCATCAGGCGCACATTGCTTGAATGTGACCTTGTACTGCCTTGGCTTGTTGCCATACTTGCGGTGCGTGATGACTCGGTCAACTTCCTGATGTCCGTCCATAGAAGGCGGGTCCTGTGATCGATGTCCAGGAAACTCGTCAGCTGAAGGTGGCGTGTAGATGGCCAGCTTCGACGCGTGGAAGACCCGATGCACTGGAAGGTGCGGTGGAATGTTGATCACGAAGGAAGGACCTGCGGGGTCGGCTCCAAGGGCAGAAGTGACTTCCCATGGTCTGAACCATTTCAGAAGGAGTTTGCGCGAAACGTCCTGCTCGAGCGCAAATTCCTCGGAGAGGACCCAAATAAGGTCTCCCTCGCGGAAAGGACATGGAAGTCGACGTCGGTTAGCCTGTTGCTGCATGCGGATCTGAGCCTTTTGCATATTTGCGCGGGCTTTGATCAGCAAGTCCTGGTACTTCCGAGCGGAAGCGGGAGAGCAAGGGACGTCTATGTCGGCAGCCTGTGGCAAAAGGAGATCAGCGAAGATCCGTGCTTTCTCTCCACCATGATGTAACTCGAATGGTGTGACGTAGATCGTCGGGTGCACCGAAGTGTTATACGCGAACTCGATGTCAGAAAGCCGGTCAACCCAATCTTTCTGGTCGGGACGGATGAGCGTACGCAACATCATCTGAGCGGTCTAGTGCGCTCGGTCCGTCTGGCCATCCGTCTGCGGGTGCCGAGCCGAGCTCGGCTTCATTGTCGTACCGGACTCAGCCATGAGGGAAGTCCAAAAAACCGACATGAAGCGAGTATCTCGATCGCTCACTATGTCTTCCGGAACACCCTGGTTGGTAATCCAACCGGTGTGCAAGAGTCGTGCAAGCTCAGGCGCTGCAGCATGATACTTCAAGGAAGGAAGCGAGCATACTTGCTCAAACGGTCAACGACCGTGAGAATACCGTCATGGTCGTGGCGATCGCGGGGAAACGGGCCTGTCACGTCCATAGCAATGGAAAGGCGTGGTGCCCGAGGAATCGGCAACGGTTTCAGTTCGCCGAAGGGGACTCGAGATCAACCCTTGTTACGGTGGCAAACTGCACATGACTCTATGTACCTCGTAACGTCATGAAGGACGTCGGGCCAGTGAAAACGCTGGCGGAGGCGTGCTAGTGTGCGGTTCACGCCAAGGTGTGTCGAAGGTCGTGCGTCGTGGACTTCGCCGAGAAGACGAGTCCGTAACATGCGATCTTGGGGCACAACTAACAAGTCCTTTCCTCTCGTGTGAGGGAGAAGGAACCCGTCGGAAATCTGATAGTGGCTAGCCGGCGGGTGATCCGATGAAAGCTCTGCGTAAAGCGTAGAGTAAGTCGGATCGGACTTGTAGCCTTTGACGAAATGCGGCTGCACATCGTCATCCAGGTCAAATGCCGTGGTCACAATGGCACAAAAATCGGGCCGTCGTGATAGGGCGTCCGCAGCTCGATTGGCGGGACCGGGAATGTGGCACGGGTCAAAGTCGAACTGGTCGATGTAATACATCCATCGACCGATYGTRCTAGTGACCGTATCYTGCGTTTTGTAAAAGGTCAACGGATTGTTGTCCGTATTCCATTTAAAACGCCGACGGCCGAGAAGAAAGTGGCGCCACCGTTTGAGAACGGTGACGAACGCGAGTAACTCTTTCTTCCTAGCGACGCCGAGAGTGTTTACGAGAGGCACCTTTTGGGAGAAGTACTCGACCGGATGCCAACTGTCCTCGTGACACTGTTCCAACATCGCGCCAATACCGTGTCCCGAAGCGTCCGTAGTCACTTGGGTGGTTAGGGTTGGGTCGTATATACGGAGGGCAGGTGCGGCTTGCATCGCTGCCTTCAACGTAGTGAACGCTCCACGGGCTGCGTCGTCGAACTCGAAGGGCACCTTCGGGGACTGAAGTCTCGACAAAGGAGCGGYCACTTTCRAGTATGACTCGACGAATCGCTGRTARTRTYCRRCCAAACCCATGAAAGAGCGTACATCCGTCGTGCAACGGGGTTCYGGCCAATCCACGATGGCTTGGATCTTGTCYGCTAAGGGACGAATGCCTTTCGGCGTGACAAAATGACCCAAGTACTCAAGCTCTTGCYTGGCGAATTCGCACTTGTCGAGGTTCGCTTTGTACTTGGCTAGTCGCAAACGATTCAAAACAACGCGAAGGTGTACGATGTGCTCATCCAACGTCCTACTGTAAACCAAGATGTCATCAAGGTAGATGAGGACGCTGCAATCGAGCAAGTCGCGAAACTCAGTCGTCATCGCTGCTTGGAAAGTCGCGGGGGCATTGGTGAGGCCAAAAGGCATGACAACCCACTCAAAATGCCCGTACCACGTCTTGAACGCGGTCTTGTACCGGTCTTGAGGCTGGATTTCAATCTGGTGGTAACCTGACTTCAAGTCCAACTTCTAGAAGTACGTCGCGCCGCCCAACCGCTTAAGAAAATCATCAATCCGAGGGAGAGGGCCGGCGTTCTTTACGGTTTGTGCGTTAAGTTTTCGATAATCGATGCATAGTCGTAGATCTTTGTTCTTCTTCCGGACGAAGAGAACAGGGGCACCGTATGGCGAGCAACTAGGGCGAATCCAGCCCTTGTCGAGAAGGTCATCGAGTTGTGCGCGAAGCACCTCGAGTTCCTCTTCGCTCATGCGATAGATACATCCACGCGGAGGGACGGCACCAGCCTCGAGAGTGATCCCGTGGCGTATGGGCCGATCCGGAACCGTTCCGGTGGGCGCTTCGAAGACGTCTCTATACTCGTCAAAAAGGTGAGAAATGTGTGGGTCCGACGGTGACGCGGCTGGTCCGTCGGGCTAGGTGAGAGCATGCAAGAATACAAGGCCCATCTCCTCGACGTCATTCCGAGCAATGGCGTCGCGAATTCTCGCAACGGAAACCACGTGACAAGCAATCGAAGTGTGAGGGGTCGCGACCGTACATGGGACTAACACTCCGTTCCGATCACGGATGTGAACGGTGCGGTCATGAAAGTTYACCGGATGATCGGCGCTRCGCAACCAAGACATGCCTAGAATCATGTCRACCTTGGTGTCGAGGATGTCAAAAGACACCGGCTCGCACGCAAGTGGCGCAAAGTATACCGGAACGCCATCGACGCATCGGTCAATTGACTTTTGCGTGCGGTCGTCCGCGAGTGTGACTTGCGTGGGTTGCGTCTTCCTTCGAACGCGGGGGCCAAGGCCTGCGCGGGCCATAAAGGCTTGGCTCATAAAGTTGCGAGACGCTCCGCAATCAATCAAGGCACTGCAGGTTGCCTTTCCGATTTGAATGCGGATATAGAGCAAAGGCGCGTCGGTTTCGGCGTACCTTGGGGTGGCGTACTCGCGGTCAATCTTCGCAAGATAGGAGCGGAGATCGACAACCGCTACTCCGTCGTCCGTCAACGGAGCTGGTACTATAGTGTGCAGATAGGAGCGTAAATCTACCATCAAGGCGTTGCAATGCGGCCTTGGCAAGGTTCCGGTCGAGGGTAGAGGCATCCAAGCGAAGTCCTCTCGAGTGAGCGGGTCAAGCTCCTCAAGTCTTGACCACGCCGTCGAGTCCTCGGAAATCAGTGGCGAACTGACCGGATCACTTGCCGACGGTGTACAGGCTGCGCATACGCTAGCTAAATGCACGTGGCTTGGCTGGTCTAATGGTGGTACCAGCTGGGTGGCACAATCCTCGTACGTAGCACGAGAATCAGCGACTAACGCATGCTCCCCGGTAGTGACATCGATTGCTAGCAAGGCAACCGATTCCGGCAGAGTGAGGAGAGACGTCACCCCTCTCCTTGCGTGACTCAGTTTCCCGAGTTTGCTGGACGGAGTACGCGTGCCTTGCCCTTTTCGGGGCATTGTGCGGTCAAGTGTGTGACTTCATTGCACCAAAGGCAATATCTATACTTTTGACGAAGTTTATAGACTTCCTTGGTGATGTTATAGGCCGTCCATGACTGCTGCCCAGTTCCCGTCGATGTCGTCTCTTGTGTCGCCTTCGGTTTTCGGACCCTCTTAGGACGCTTCGGCGGGAGCGCTGCTACAATTCCTCCATCACTCCAGGATGCTGCTGCAGCGTGGAGATCGTCTGTTTCTTCAAAAATTACGGCATTGTTATGTGTCGGACGTTGATAGCCCTGCTTAGCCACATAATGCGGTTGGGATTGTTTCTCGTTAGCGGCCTTGTCGTCCGTTTGGATGATCAGGTTTGCGCGATCCAGGATAGCCTGGAACGAGGTATACTCGTACTCGTTACCGAGTGCCGACCGCAATCCTGCGCACGATCGCGAGAAGAACTCGGATCGTTGATTTGGAAAAGTCAAATCGAAGCCTGGCGTGGTCACTATCTTCGGCCCCTTGGTTGTCCAGTCTCGAGTTGGCATACTTCCTTGAGAGCAGGTGTACACCTCGTTCATGGCCGCCTTCACGACGTTGCAGACCATGAACCGGGTGAACCATAGCTGCTCGAACTCCTTCCACGTGATGCGCGTGTGAAGTTCGGTGATGGTGCATGTGTGGGTAGCCGCCAGGTGGTTCATCCATGCCTGCGCTCCTCCAATCAGTTGTAAGTATAGCGCCTTCATCATGTAATCGTCTGGGACAGTGCGGCACGATGCTTCCGTAAGGAAACGTTGTCACCATGCCAAGGCGTCCGTCTTGTTGTGGTCGTCGAACTTGCTGATGTCGAAGTGTGGCATCTTGTAACTCTTCGTAGCGGCGTCCGGTTTCATCTGCAGCTTGGTGATGTTCGTCTTGATGGCGGCCACGTGCTTCTGATCGTGTCCGGCCCATTGAAGGCACCTATGTCGCCGATGAGATTGACGACATGATCGATGCGCCCATTGAGCTGCTTCGTCGTGTCCGTCATATCTGGTGTGCAGTCTGGCGCTGATTGGGGAGGCCTTGCCTCCAAGGTAGCAATGCGTCCATCCAGCTGTTTCAACTGGTTGTCCACGACCTTGACAGCTGCTGCAAGTATCTTCACGTTGTGGCTCAGATCGTGTTGCAGCTGCAGTGTGAACCGGGAATGCAGCTCCCCCATGGAGCTGGTCCAAATGACGGCGCGCATTGTATGGAGTAGAATATCTGCCAGGTCTTGCCTCTCTTGCTGTACTGTTGTCGACTCGCTGCCGGGTACCGCGACATAACGCATCCCGTTGAGCACCGTTGTCCATTGTGCTTGGTTAGCACTTACAAGATCAGCGTTGCCGGTGTTGAGCTGATCGATCGCCAAGCAGTCTACCTCGGCTTGACGCCGGGTTTGTGTTGCAGCTTCCTCTGCTAGCCGTAGTCTTTCGGTTGCGGCAGCCTCTTGCTGTTCCTTGACCTGAGTGAGTGCGGCTGTATAGTCCTGCATTCGCTGAATGAAGTCCGGGAGGGGCTCATTCGACTCTCGCACCGGATAGACCGGTAAGAGTTCGGCATTACTAGCTGTCGAACCCTCGGATGATGATCGCAGAACAGTGTGAGGGAGAGGGTAGGCACAGGGATAGAACAGATCAAGCAATCAACATGCAGTCCCTGTCCCAAGGATGGACTAAGACACCTAATCAAACAGAAAAAAATAACTTTTCCCGTAACTAATTCCAAAATCGTAATAAGAAGAATTAAGAACGAATCATTTAATCAATAAAATTAATTAATGATAAATAACGAAATACTTCTTAGTGATAATCAATAAAACAATGTTTGTAATAAAGATAATCAATAACCAATATTTGCAATAAGGATAGTCAATAAACAATAATTGCAATTATGATAATGAACGAATTTGAATTGTAATATGATTAGGTCTCTTTGAGATCAATTACGGTCCGGGAGTTCACCGTTAATGAGTGAGCTACCCAGAAGTTGCAACTTGAGGGTTAGATTCGGAGTAGTTTGCCAAAAAAAAATTTCGGAAAAAGTCAGGGAAAAAAAAAAACACTCGAAATTTCAAAAACGTGAATTTTCGAGAATTTTCGCCATCAAAATCCGATTTTTAAAGGCCTAACCCCGTTTTCGGAATTTCTCAAAACAAAGGAACGAAAAAAAATTCCGCGAAAATTTCGGGCCCAACCCTAATTTTCCGCGTTTCGGCGGAATTTCCGGATTTACGATTCCCAAAACGTTCGAATTTCCCAAGTTGAGCGGAAAACCAAAGTTTTCGTAACCCTAATTTTCACTACTGCAATAAAACGGAAATGCCGATTGGAAAACGAAATACCAGATTAAAATCAGAATGCCGAATCAACAGAATACTGATTTAACCTAATTACGAATTCCTAATAAGAAATCCAATTAAGCAGTATGTCGTATCAATTTATCGAAAACGAATTAAACAGCATACCGGCGTAAAACAGAAATCCGAATACTAAGTCTGAATACTGAATTGAAACGGAAATGCCGAAATAACAGAATACAAAAAAAAAAAAAAAAAAATTCGCAACTTTGAACTCGATAGTAATATAGAGCTGATTCGGAAGATTAAAGAACAATCTAATTCCTAATCAGACTTACCTTTGTGAGCAGATCCGTTAATATGGTCTGCTCCGATACCAAAACTGTTACATACTTCCATGAGTATGGGCAGAACCAAAGATCAACCAATGTAGGATGAGCATATATGCAGCGGAAGTCTGATACACGGACTGACTCACATAGAATCACTCCACACACATACAATCGTGAGATGGTGGGGTCTGGGCCAAGCATAGACGATGCCCAGACCTCGTACACACATACACAGATGAGAGGTGGGAGGAGAGACGAAGAGGAGGGGAGATGTAGGTAGCACCAAATGTCACCGAGATAGAAAACWGTAGGTCACCGATATAGTAACCCAAAATGTCATCGAACAAGATCAAAATGTCRAGGACAATAAGTCACCRATGTCGGAGATACARAGTCCTAATGTAACCGGTGTCAAATCTGTGGTGCAGCCGAGTATCATCCCCAACAATCTCCAAGTCTCGAATCCGGTAAGTACCACAGCCTCTTACCACCGAAGTCCAACTCTGATCTCTGTCCAACTAGTATAAGTCTCCGATCTGAAGAAGAAGAAGAAGAAGAAGAAGAAGAAAAAGAAGTTGATGAAGTCTGAAGAGAAGAAGAAGACGAAGAAGAAGAGAACGAGAGAGAGAGAGAGAGGAGACGGAGGTGAGGAGGAGGGAGAGGAACCGTGGAGGGAGGAAGAGATCCTCGCCTCCAGGTACCTGTCCTGCTGCTGTCGAGGCGGCGATGGCCGCCGTGCTGCTGCTGCTGTCCTCGCTCGCTGCTGCCGCTGCGCTAGCTCGCGCTGCTGCTGTCCTTCGCTCCTGCGCTAAGAATAGCGCTCAAACGGCGCTCTGGCGCCGACCTTACCGCACCGCATAGACTGTCGGTGGGTCGATAGCCTCACTGAGGCTGGACC